GAAAGTTTAAAAATTTCCTGGAAAAAGAAAACGTGATTCATCAGACAAAAGCAGCTCTGTGCATTTTTCCGTGGAAAGCTTTTTGTCATAAAATTCCTGTAATCTCAGTTCTTTCAGTTTTTACTTCAATCAGCATAGATTTACAGGTTCCAAATTTATTAGGAAAGCTGAACAGAATTAATTCAGGCTTATGCATGCTGGGACTCCTGGTCCTGATAGGATTTGCCATATACTTCATAATGCCACATGTGAAAGAACACAGACTGTTTTATTAATTTAACAGCTCTAACAGCATCTCCCAATGACATGCACAAAATATTTCTGGTAAGAAAAAAAAGAAAGCGCATTCAGAAAGTAACAGTGTCCATGGATTAAAAGTCATGATAAACACCGCAACACAGATTCATCCAGCATTTTTAATATGTCTAGTCTGATCTTTTTTTTTTTATTATTTTGAGAAGAGAAGGCGTAAAAAAAGGAACTATATTCAAGACAGGAAGAATAAACTTTATTATATGACTGGATGAACTCAGTTGTGCTGCGGAGTCGAAGGTCATTCTTTTGACCTCAGAAATGGCTACTCTGGGATCAGCCTGTGTGAGAAGAGAGTTGGTCGCTTGTATCTCCTGATAACTTGGTACTATGCTGATTATTAGGTTGTAGCAGGCAAGCAGACTCCAGCGTATTCTGTGTTCTTTTTCTCCTAGATATAGCAAGGCAGAAGCCACTGATGTGTCAATAAATATTACATTAAGAAATGTTCTCTTCATATAAAGTCAAGACAGAGGCAGAAGTGTCTAGTGAAAGTCCTTTGGGGGAGTGGGATTTGATGCCCCATCAGTGCTAATTGCTGCTTATCCACCCATCGCAGTATTCTTGGCAAAGGCATTTGGCAGCAGTGCTGCCGTGGAGCTCCCTGAAGCCGTGACAACTTAGCTCGGCTGAGATCTGCCCCAGGAGACTCACTAGGGCTGAACAGTCCTCCAGGCTGCGGATCTAACTCCACAAAGGACTTGAACAAAGAATTTCATTTCCTTTGCCTCACTTTCCTTAAATATAAATAGATTCTGGTAACATCCATCAAAGTCTCACCATTTGTCAGGCATAGTTAAACCTGGTGGAGAATATAGTATTAAACGGCTATGTAGATATGTGATAGAAACACAAAGATGAGGCGAGACTTCTGGTGAATAATGGGCTGTTGGAAAAACAAAAACAAAGCAACAGAGTAATCCCGATAAAGAGCAGCATCAGAAACTGAACTCCCAGTTGCGAAGAAGCAGCTTCATCTGTGCCTCCATCACACAGCTGCTTTGCCAGGTATCTGAACCTGGGAATTCAAAGAAAGTTTGCAAAATGAGTCGTGTCTTTCCCAGGCAAAAGTAGGTTCTTTCTTCGGTAGAATTTAAGAAATTTTGTCAAGTTAGGTAAAGTGTTATGTAACATCTGATTCATTTCTATTGTATTACCCATATTTTTTTTCTGACAGAAATGCATTTTAGATTAATATTTAATGCCCTAGCTTTTAAGAAAGTATCTTTGAATCACTTCAGTCTGCTGCTGACTTGAGGTTCCTGGGACAGGAGTAGCTGCATGAGCTAAATACTAGTGTACTGTCAGATACCATATCTGAAAAGAGAAAGTGCAGCTCAGGAATACTGGCTGTACTCGGCAGAACCACACATTTTTCCATAGAAGGGAGAAGAAGATAGCAAAACCTATTGCCAGAGAGCGTCCACAAGAGAAACTATGAAGGAGTCTGAGATACCGCTTGGTCATGTCTGAGAGGGAGAGTGGAGAAAACGGCACAGGCACAGCGTGCCTCTGAATGGAGGCAGAGCCCCTTGGGTCTTCAGATGAATTGTAATGCACAGAATGATTTTTGCTGCAAAGTTAATAGTTTTTTTCATTCATAGTCTTTTTTTAGCAGTGAAGCAATTAAAATATTCATTCAGCATATTGTGCTTCAAAAATATAAAACACAGAGATCAGCAGGCGTGTTTTCATTCTGTCGTTCCTGATATTACTCATCACAGCAGAACAACTCATGTATTTTTTAATCATGTTCTTTCTTCTATGGAATCTTGTTTCTTTTCCGAAGTGTGAAGCTCAGTGGTTGGTTCACCTTTGGTAAAACTGACGCCTAAATTTTTGTTCCTAGTCTTTTTCAGTACGTGTCATCTATTTTGTCATGTGGGATGGCTCCTCGTGTAGTATGTTTGGTTTTGAAAATCTGCTTAGTAGGGAAAGCAAATGTACTTTAATCTGAAGATTAAGTGGTGACAGACTGTAAAAACAAGCAAACAAACAAGCCTCACCCTTCCCCCCTCCCAGATAAATTTGGGATATTTTTCCTGGCTTGGAAAGGAGCAAATTATTTAATCGCAAGTCATCCTGTTCACATGGGTAAAGTTTTGACCAGTGAGATATATTGCAACAGCTTTTCTCTTAGATCTGTTTTTCTGGTTTCTAAACTGAAAGATGTCATGGACTTCAGTAGAAGCATGGACTCTCAAAAAGATTGATGAACTTTTCTGCCTGAAGTTGATATATTTTACCAGTGTCCATTGATGTCTCCACACTCTCTTATGTGGTGCCAGTTGCTGTAGTCTTCCAGGTGACCTGCGTATTGCTCAGAAAGTTGGACATGATATACTGATGTAATGCCTATTTGAGAGAAAATACCTTAGTTTATCTTTAAGCACTATCACTTTGGCATTTAGCCCAAAACTGTGTTGTAACTGTATAGATATTAAAACATTTTCATTTAATACTGTAACATCTCAGTATATACACCTTCTAACTACAAAATTGCTCTATTACTGGGTCTTGCTGTTATTACAAAAACAGGAATATGCGAGATAAGCTGGTACAAGAGAGAACTTCTATTTTATCAATGAGTAATTTTGTGTAGTTCGATTTTGGAACCTCAAAGGCTGAATCGTTTTTCAGTCTTTGTTTGCAGTGAATCATAGAATCATTTATGTTGGAAAAGACCTTGAAGATCATCAGGTCCAACCATAAACCTAACACTGCCAAGTCCACCACTAAACCAGGTCTCGAAGTGCCACATCTATACATATTTTAAATACCACCAGGGATGGTGACTCAACCACTTCCCTGGGCAGCCTGTTCCAATGCTTGACAACCCTTTCAGTGAAAAAATTTTTCCTAATATCCAACCTAAACCTTCCCTGGCGCAACCTGAAGCCATTTCCTCTTGTCCTGTTGCTTGTTACTTGGAAGAAAAGACTGATGCCCACCTCTCAACAAACTCCTTTCAGGTAGTTGTAGAGAGCAATAAGGTCTCCCCTCAGCCTCCGTTTCTCCAGACTAAACCACCTCAATTCCCTCAGCTGCACCTCATAAGATGTGTGCTCTAAGCCTTCTTTGGACATCCTCCAGCACCTCAAAGTCCTTCTTGTAGGGGGGGCCCAAAACTGAACACAGTATTTGGAGTGCAGCCTCACCAGTGGTGAGTACAGGGGGACAATCAGTTCCCTGGTCCTGCTGGCCACACTATTTCTGATACAAGCCAGGAGACTATTGGCCTTCTTGTTTACTTGGGCACACTGCTGGGCTTATATTCAGCCAGCTGTTGACCAACGCCTCCAGATCTTTTTCTGCTGGACAGCTTTCCTGCCACTCTTCCCCAAGCCTACAGCGTTAGGGATTGTTGTGACCTAAGTGCAGGACCCGACATAGCCTTGTTGATGCTTGTGTTAGATTCATGAAATGCTATACAGCAGTTTGTACTTCAATATTTTGAAGTTAGTAGACAGAGCAGGAATTTCTAATAAATTTTAGTGTGCTTTGTTTAACCATGTCCTACTCCCAAGCCTCCTCCCTGCAAAGAGCCTCAAGAACAACTTCACAAAGATTTTGTAATGTTTTCACATAAACTTTAATTCTAAAATTAGTATTTCACCTTTCCCTGCAGTTTTGAAAACACTCTCTAGTTGTGTCCGTTTTACTGTCTTAGGCAAAAATATTACTAGAGATGGTAAAATGGCCAGCTGAAGTGCCTGACTTTGCTGACTTGCTTTGTGCTTTAGGCAATAACACACATGGATAAACTTTTTGGCATGTTAAGAGATGTCTGTATAACTTACTTGAAGCTAAAGCATTGTACTGCTTGGATGTTAGTTATGAATCAAGTTTCTTAAAATTAGATCCAAGACTGTTTACTGTTTGAGGAGCAAATAGTGCCAGGGAGCAATAAGGATGGATTTGTGGCAAATGGATTTTATAATAAATTGTTCTTGGTATTCTTGACCACCTTGATCATTTGCGTGAAATATTTTTGTGCTTTTTCTAGAATGATATTTTGTATAAAATATTGCATTAGAAATTTATTTTGTAGGCCACCTTAGGAATGAATAAGACTTCTGTTCCTCCATCACTTAAGGCTCTCCCTCAATTGTAGTACAACAAGCTTTCCATGATTTATCCATCATCCTTGTCTTTATGTTTGTGCAGTCTTCCTCCTTTTCCTTTCATCTTTGCTTTTCCCAATGTTGTTGATGTAACATCCTTACAGGCACTACAGTAGCTCCTCACATTCTTGGTAATTAAGTGTAAAAGGAGGGGCTTCAAAACTGTGTTACATTAAGAGCTTTTTTTTTATTTGCCATAATCTTGTGTTTTTTCCTCTGGCTTGTGATTTGTTACACTCCAAAGCAGATGATGTTTCTCCAGCGCAGGAGTAACCCTTGCCAAGACAAACCTTGCTGAACCTTGAGAAATCTTGATGAAGCAACACTCTTGACTAACTTTTGGCTGCTTTTACAGAGGTTCAGGTTTGTCATTGTACAGTTAGATTGCCACTGAAAAAATAATATAAAGAATCAAAGCAGTGAAACGTAGCAGCTTTACGGTGTTACCAGCATACCTTTGCTGGAGCATAGCCTGCATAAGTCACAGCTTAATTACATTGGATAGCATATATAATGCTGGTGTTCATTCCCTAATTTTATCACTATCGCTTTGACCTGTTTCAGATAAGAAGACAAGGCGGAATACAATTACTGGTGGACCTATTGGACCATCGGATGACAGAAGTCCACCGTAGTGCCTGTGGAGCTTTGAGGAACTTGGTATATGGGAAGGCAAATGATGACAACAAAATCGCTCTGAAAAACTGTGGTGGTATCCCAGCATTAGTACGGCTACTCCGCAAGTCTACAGATTTGGAAATCAGAGAACTGGTCACAGGTTTGAATCTTTCCATGTTTTTTGTTCAAACTTCATATAGGCCCTGCCAGCACAGTTCTGTGCCGCGTGCCACTTGCTCCATCAGTAACTATTTTATTACCATCTTTGTTGTAGCAAAACGCTTTCACGCCCTTTGGATATACGTACTGTATGAATAGCTTTATTCAGTATTACACAGACAGGTTACTGGTTCAGGCATGGTTTCTGGTTGCGGTTGCTGGTCACGTTGTTCTTGGTTAGCCATGAATGCTCTTGCGGGAGAGAGACTCCATACACAGATACGTGGTGGTGGGAATCCTACCATCAGCTGTGCTCTTCTCTCCCTCCTGTCTGCTGTAGAGCTGCACATGTGGAAGTTGGATTTTACTGAATTTTCTTAGAAGCTGTTACTCTTTTCTTTTCTATCCTTTATAGTGAGAAGGAGGATTTGACATGTTTTTTACCTTTTTTATGATTATGATAGGAAAATGGAGAAGCATGTTGGATGAATGGACAACATGCTCTTCTGAAGCCTTTTTTCTGAAATTTGGTAGCATCTCATATGATGTCTGTTAGACACAGGGCATGCAGGTAGTGACAAAGTCTTACTTCTTTTCTTTATAGAGTAGAATCTGATCTTTTTAAGATTGTTTGGACTTTTTCCCTTATGAAATTAAAGTCAGTTTTCTTTTCAGAAATACAGAAATACTGTCAAACAGCACCAATCTGAAATGTTTGGAGATGTATTTCCCCTTGCCCCTAAGCTATGCTGTTTAAAACACAAAACAGAAGCTAGGTGTTTTTTTTTGCTTTTTCACTTTGTGATTTCATTCTACTTGATGGCTAAAATCAATGTGGTGATTAATTTAATGCTACAAATAAAAAAATCCTAAGATCTTTTCATTATCCTATTTTATAATACTTGTATTTCCATTATGATTTTTGTGCTAAAGTATGTAAGAAACGTTCTGATTTCTGTCATAGAAGCATCAGAGTACACACTATCGTACACACTGATCTGTGATGTACACACTGATCTGTGCTTCTTCAGAAGTTACTTACCCTTGTGAGTCAGGGCTCATTTAGAATACAATTCTTAAGATTATTTCCTTTGGTTGATGCCACATTCCTTCCTTGAGGGTGTCTGAACAAACTGCATGGTGTTTATTAGATGTAGATTTTTATATTTAATTTTGTTTCTTAGTTACAACACCTACCACCTCGTACTTGTTAGGGAGGACTAATGGGGCAGAGATACTGGCTTACATGAGCTCGGATGGTGCCTCCTGCAGAGTGACAGAATTACTGACAGATCTAATAAAGTGTAACCACCGCTTCGCATTCAACATACTTACTTGTCTCTCGGTTATGTTGTCTGTGTCCTGGCTCCAGGGAACATTCTTCCTATTTATTCTGAGTAGTAAGTGGCAAACTGCTAATGAACATCAGCAGTACACCTCAGCAGTTGCAGTAGCACTTCCCATGCTGTCTGTAGATGGAACACATAATGGCATTAGGTCATTTAAAGAAAAGATATTAGGCTGCAGTTTACATTCCTTCCATTGCACAGTGTGTTGGTAAATTTTCCTGAATTCCCACCAAAAGAAAGGATGCGTGTGCTGGCATGCCCTCAAATTGTTACTACCGAGAAGAGCAGGTACTGACCATCAATGGTAAGCAGTAACCAGCCTTTGTACCAGTAGATGTAGCTCCTGGGGATGGTGAGCACCAGGAGTGCTGGACATCTTTGAAAAGGGAGCAGAGCAAGATGGTGACCCTGAGGAGTGGAACCAAAGTCAGTAGTATTTCAAGATTTTATTCCTGGGCCTGTTTTTGTATTGGTTTTTTTTATTTATTTTAATAGCCAGTACATCCCAGAAGGCCACTGCTTACCCTGGCTGGCTTTTGTGCCTTTCAAAATGCCAATCACTGGCCCTTGCTTTGCAAATGGAAACCTGGTAGTGGTAGTGTTCTGCAAAGCTCCTTTCCAAATCAGTGCTAGTCGTTGCCCCTCTCATCTTGCATCTCTTAGGAAACTGGCTGGAATCGTGCATCTGAATCAGTTCTCATTTGCTTTTTTTGTAAAGTGTTGTAGTGTGACAACTGCCCCAGTTAAATTCCTTCCCTCTGTCCTTTCTGAGGAAGGACAGATAGATTCTGCAGCAGCTGCCTCACTAATGAAAAAATTTGGCTTGGAGGTGGGCACAAAGGAAAAGAAAAGAAGTTCCTGCTGCTTCCCATCAGCCTTCCTGAGTTGAGGTGGCAGGAAGATGATTATTTCAGTAGTGCCACCATAGCCTGAAGGAAGTACAGAGAAAATAATAGCAAATGTGCGTTTTAGGAGTAAACATAATGCCTTGAGCCTTTCCATCTCATGTGCATCGTGCATCCTGTCTACCTAAACGCTGTTCTTGTTTGTTACTTTTAGGGAGGAAACAAAGTTCCTGCCTTAGGAATTCATACGGACTCAGTCATTGCCATCCCTAAATATTCCTCCAGCATTTGTCCTCATCGCACTTCTCTTAGGTGTGGAAGTGTCATTATCTCAGTTGCACGGACGGGGAACTGAGCCTACCAAGTCTAAATGACCTGTCCAGAAAACTGGCAAGACGAAGGTGTGAATCACTCTGAGTAGGCACTTGGCTGCAGGGGAGGCAAGATGGGCAGGAGAGGTTTTTAGCAGCTCGGTTTGTGTGAACAGCAGCGAAGCATCATCGCCTGCCCCAAGTACTGAGAAGCACATGCCCGCCAGAGCGAAAGTGATGATATTAGTCCCTTCCTCAGACATGCACATTTTCTTCCTTCTTGTTGCTTCTCTCTAAGGAGATTATAATTTCAATTTCCAGCTATCTCAAGACTAGTTTTAGAAGTGTATTTAAACCTGCAGACCAGCTTTCTATTCCAGCACCTCCTTGCTTGTCAGAATTGCCTTCGGCACCGTTGTGGCTTTTCGACTTTTTCAGAGATTCCTTTCTGCCATAATCTCTCCAAAATTGAGTTTTTCACTTCTTTCTTTATCTCGTCTTTCTGCTCTTTGGTAGCAGAAGACTCAGGCTAATATTGGAAGACCTCAAATTTCTGGATTGGGCAAACTGAACCTTATTGGAGAGTGTTAGAGCTTCAAGGCTTTCTCACATGGAGCAAATGGTTTCGGTGCAGGGTCCCATGTAATAGCCCTAAGGGAATTTTGCTGCCTGGCTGTTAGGAAATTAAATGCCCAGGAAGTACCTCCTGAAATATTGAAAGATTACTCTTCCAGAAACACTTCCACAATCACTGTTTCTTATGAGAAGAAACTCAATAAACTGAGGTATACTAATGAATATATACATTTACGCAGAAGTGAAATACTCGGATAGAAACAGAGAACTCAGCACGGCCTGCAGCCTCTCATAATTTCCAGAGAGTCAAGGAGAATCTGAATTACAATGTCTTTTTCACGTAGGTCTGTAAACAAAAAGAAGTCCGTATAAGCTGGATGCACCATACTTAATTTAGCCATTTTTTCACACCAGTGTTGTGCTACTAGTTCCCACAGTAGCTTGTGTTAATGGGAAGAAGGAGAAGCCTTCTATTTTAAAATAATTGAATGTTAACACTTTCTTAATAAATATAAATAGACAAGAACACAGTACAAAATTAGCAGCGATCCTGCAGGTGGTAGAAAAAAATGTTTTCACTTGTTAATAATGACAATGAGTAGCTGATTTGTGACTCCTTTGCCTTTCCTGACTTAAAGTTAATTATGAACCCTTCCACAAAATTCGATTTTAGCATTCTTTCTATTCGTTTTACTATCAGGAAAAAAATTTACATCGAAAATGTGAAGCATTAGCAAGGATAATACAGGAATCCCATTGATACCCTCTGGAGAAGGTGAAGTCAAGCAGCTGTTGCTAGATTCAGCCTACACTGGCTCCTTGTTCCATCAGCTCCATCTGATATCTGATAACTGGGTACCTATCTCAGACAAAATGATTTAAACTGCAATTCTCCTCCTCTGTGAAAACAAAATCCATCACAACTAGAAACACAGTTTTTGCCTATGGACAATAAGCTAGCTGGAATAGAAACAGCTCCGTTTAAAGCAGCCCCTTATATGACTGTATCACCCCTTTTCAAACTGTATATGCCATATTTGATTGAAAGGTAAAAGTGGATGATCCACTTACAGAAAGCACATGATGATAAAGAAATACAGCTTTATATAATAACAGGAGAAATTGTTTTTTCCTGTGCTGACAGCCAGTCTGCTGCTTACTTTGGTTGACATTAAGGTGTCAGAGATTTAGCTATTGTCTACTGAAAACAGATAAATTAGGAAAATCATCACATTACCAAAAAAAAAAAATTGGAAAAAAGCATAAACTATCTAATACTATACATATATAAGATAAATAGATAGATAGATAGATAGATAGATAGATAGATAGATGTAGACTGTATATTTCATTCACATTTTTATTCACTAAATCAAAAAGCATGTATTATATTCCTGAAAAAAAAAAAAAAGTAGCACATTTTGTACATAATGTTCTTTTTAAAGAAACACTAGTTGTCCAAGTATGTTTGGCCCGTGGTGGGGTTGGACAGGAAAAATTTGTCTTTTACTTTCCAGATCTTGGATTCCAATATTCGTTAATGTTGTCTTTAATTTCAGCTGTGGCCAGTTTGTGTTTTGGCTTGGTTGGTCCTCTGTTGTCACCCCATGTTACGGAACAGTATTATGTAGTTTTTTTACATTTCTTGCCAATTTTTAGTAGATGCCACATGTTTATAATCAGGTATTTATAACCTTATTGATAACCTGTCAGTGTTATTGAAAGCAATTATATGTTGTCCTCCCTCTATCTGATTTGAGGTAACCTCTGCAGTTTAAACCTCCTTTTGATTGCGTACTGCTTATTAGTATGTGCATAAATTGTTGGCAGGTTGGTCAAGACACTCCAGAAGGTCCCTTTGAGCCTTGCATGTGTCTGCTAATCAGTGTAATTGCAGGTTAGTGAGCCTGCAGTCATTTA